TAAGGGAGAATCTCTGCTCTCTCCCCGCCCCCACCCCCAGCTACCTGGTCTCTGGCCCCAAGGGAACACAGGCGCCTGGGTTCCATGCTGAGGTCTGGAGCCTTTCAGAAGCTGTGGAGCCTTTTGCAAAGCACTGCCCCCCGCGCTCCCCCCCTCCCCACGCCCCCGGGAGGGGATGCTGCGCTAAAGAGGCCAGGAGCGCGGATGAATGCGCGCGGATGAACAGCTATTTGCGCCTCCGGCAGCCGGCCTTTGCACGAGGTGTTCTTGCCAATGAGCTAGCCCCGGGCACGCAGCGCAAGCAAGCTCTGGGAGGCGCTCGGGCAGCGCCAGGCCTCATCCCCTAGGGCTCTTCCGCCAAGTTCCTGCGGAATGGCTGGCGTAGGGGGTTGTAGTGCAGCGCTGCGACCAAGGCGCGGTTCAAGGTGGAGGGGTTGTGCCCCTGCAGGCTCGCCAGTGCAGGATTACAGCTGCGGATCCTGCAGAAAGAGGCAGCGCCTGCACCCGCACGTCGCAACCTTCGCCCTCCTGCTCTGCACGGCATGGAGAGCATCGCCACACACAACTGGCTTAGGCAGCAGGTGTGATGGCTCTGATTCTCTTTACTGCTCCGCGCTGCCTGGACCACAGGACATTTTCCTGAAGGTAAAGTCCACGAACAAGTGGACTCACTCTCTTGCTTATCCACTTTTAGCCTCCAGTGATTTTGCACATTTAGCGTTTAAATGTTCAGTGTTATGTCTTTTGAAGTGGTTTAACCTGCAATCTCAGTTCTTTGATGCGTTAAAAAAAAAAAAAAAACCATTTGTCACGTTTGCCCAGAGTTGCCTTCTAGGAAGGCAGCGTTTGCTTGTGTGCTTGCGCGCGCGTGCGTGGATTTTCAACTTCTTTACTTGAGGGAGCTGAAACCAGAAGTGGCCATTTTTACAGTATGATACAGTCAGTCTAAGTCTGTGGTGTGGAAATGCATGATAAACAAACAGCTGAGAAACCCGGGAGCGGGGAGTTTAAAGGAGTTGCAGAGATTGTGGGAAGGCTATGGATTTAGAATCAAATGATTTTGTTTATTTAAAGGTTTTATTACTGTTTAGTTTTTAAAATCATGTAAGCAATTTTGAGAAAATAAAGGATAAGTGTTTCAATTTCTGTAGAAATAATCTGTAAAAGTTTTACATAGAAAATATGTACAAGTACTAACATCATGGTCATGCTAGGTTAGAAACAGGGAAGTTGGCCTTTCAACAATGTCAAAATTCGTTGGATAACAAAATTTAAAAAATATGTCAAGTTCATTGGCTTTAGTTACTAAGGACTAGTGATTTCAATCTGTAGTTGTAGGCATATTTTCAGATCACACATTGTAATTCACACAATGAAATTGTGCATGTATATGTATATATACATACATGGATGTGTATATGTGTTACAGAATGGCTAAGAAAAGGCTAAAGAGCAGTATTGAAGACAGGCAGAGAGCTTTATTAATAAAGGGTAAGGAAAAATGTCTTTAGGTGCCAGGTAACAAGTTTTAGGAACAAATTGCATGGTAGTGTGTTCTGGGCACAGAATTGTCAGATTCCAGTGGCAGGCCAGTTTGAATGTCAATTAGAAATGGGCTGTATGTCAATGGCAGGAGAAACTGCACTTGATCTGGAGACTTTGGATGGAGGTCCTTTGCTGTGGCAGTTTTTCTGGCTGGGGCCCATGGCTAGTGACCAATTGATAGGTCTGTAAGTGCCATGGCCTTGCACTGGCGTGCTCCTTCTTTTATAGTCAATGCAAATGGATTATAGTATTTGTTGGTCTTGTGTGTTTGATAAGCTCTGGAGGCTGATGTTGCTGATATGTTTTTGCTATGTCTGTCTGTCCATGTGTTCCTGACTTGATTTGATGGGTTCACAAGTAGTTATAACTTATTTGTACAAATAAGTTATTTATCAGACTGTACCTTATGATTTGTGCTGGGCAGATGAATATCATTTAATTGCATAAAGGAGATGAAGAGTCATTCTACTTTGACATTTGACCTCAAAGTTGAGCAAACTATTGTTTTATAAAATAAAATTCCCCACGTCAAGGCACAGCCTGAAAGTTACCTTAAAATATAACCTGGAATGACTTAACTCAGGGCACTACCTGATCTCCACAAGTAAGGGTATTTTTAATAGATTTAAATAAATGTTCCAACATATATATATATACATATATATATATATATATTATCCCATCATATTTGCACATTAATTGACTTAATGTATAGGATTACTGGGTTATAGAAAATGCATAAGTTCTGCTTAAATACATACGGCCAAATAGTTTTTGAAAGTAGAGGTACCAGCATACAATGTCAAAGTATTAGTTCCTCTAATACCCTCTTTCACGCTAGAGGATGGTAGTCATTTTGGGTTTTCCTTATAGATGCTTACTGCTACCTCACTATGATTTTAGTTTGTAGCAGAAGTATTGAGCAGAATTTTATTTACAAGTCCATTGAATATCATATTTTGTGAAGTATCTGTTGGAATTTTTGTGCGAATGTTTAACTCCATTCTTCTCGGTTTTTTTTTGTTTATTGTGTGTGCTTCGTCAATGCTTTTCTTAATCATTAATGATATTGTGTCCTATATAATGTTTCAGATATAAGCTTTATTTTGTGGAATTTGTTTTTGTGTATGGCTTGGGTTAGAGGCCACATGTATGTTTTCTCTATGGCTTGATGACCACTTGGTCCCACTCTGCTGACTTATATTCTCCTCCCTCCTAGGCATGGTACTGCTAGTTTTGCTGTGGGCTGATGCTCTAGATGCGTCTTGTTTGTGAACTCTGTTTTTTCCCTTTGTTGTTTGGTTTGTCTATTTCTATGTTTTTATCTGAATGAAAAATACTTATCTTTATTCCTGTAAAAAAAACTATTTGTATACAAAAAATTACAGTAAAAGTCCTTCAGATTTCTTATTCTGGGATGACTTTAGCTGATCTTGAGTTTTTGATAAGCATGTATATTTTAGAATAAGTTTCCCAATTTCTGCTGACAAACAGTCTCTTGAGGTTTTTATTGTGTGTGATTCCATTGAGCTGTATATAATTCTGGTGAGAATTTTTCTTTAAATTTTGTGATATTTTTCTCATCATCAGTCGTCAGGTAATTAAAGTGTGAGTAACAGACAGCCTTATATTGTTATTTTACTGAATTGTGGGGGTTGGGAAAATTTAACGGCATAGAGTACTACACAATAAAGAAAAGTTAATTCAATGTCAAACACATAATGAGTTTGAGGTACTTTTGGCAGAGCTCACCTGTGTAGCATCACACAACTTCATTTTAGCCTTGGTTCCAAACATAGCAGGCATATGCTTTGCATCCCATAGTGGGATCACTGGTACCTGGAAGACCTCAACTCAGACTGTTGTTTGTTATGGATTGTAGTGCTTTCACACTATATACAGAGATTTCTACTCTCACAGAAACATTACTGTTTAATTATTTTAAAAGTTAAACATTTAATATTTTTATAATTATTTTTCAGAGTATCTCACGTTAGCCTATCTTTGAATTTTATAAATTTGATTTTATAAATTACTTTTTGAGTTGCTGTCCTGAGTTTCATAAAATGTACAATAAATATTTGCTTGGAATCGTGACAGAATTTTGAAATGGCTCTAAACATACTCCTAATATTTTCTTTTCTTTCTTTTTTTTTTTTTTGGTTTTTCGAGACAGGGTTTCTCTGTGTAGCTTTGCACCTTTCCTGGAACTCACTTGGTAGCCCAGGCTGGCCTCGAACTCACAGAGATCCGCCTGGCTCTGCCTCCCTAGTGCTGGGATTAAAGGCGTGCGCCACCACTGCCCGGCCTCCTAATATTTTCTATTATTGCATATTTGTGCTACATTTTATATAAAGCAGCATTCTAGGCATTGACGATAATAAAATATTGATAAACTCTGAAAACCTTTGAAGATACTCTATATCTTGATATATCAACTATTCCGTAAAGAATTAATTCTTTGTGCAGAAATGAATAGTGCCACCCATCCCATTAGTTTAAAGGTTTACAGTCATCTTTAGTAAATAACAAAATTATATGTATACTATAGAACTATTTAAAATAGATTTCTTTTTTTGTTTTGTTTTTTTCAAGAGAGTGTTTCTCTGTGTAGTTTTGGTGCCTGTCCTGGATCTCGCTCTGTAGACCAGGCTGGCCTCGAACTCACAGAGATCCGCCTGGTTCTGCCTCCCAAGTGCTGGGATTAAAGGTGTGCGCCACCACCGTCCGGTCCTAAAATAGATTTCTTTATGGTTTATTATTAGCAATTGTTTTATTGGTGTGCCTATTTCATATACCTTCATACCCAGGACTCCATAAAATTTGGGGGGCTTGAGCAGGGGCCATAAACAGAAAAGGTTTGAAAATGCTGTTTCAACCCAGTTAACCACGCTGTGCCTCAGATTAATGGTGGTTTTATTTAATTTCTTTTAAAATTGATATAGTAATTTCTGAGCAAGCATCTTGTGAGTTTTTATTGTTTGGTCATAGGTGCTTGATACTTTCTCAAGTGACAAGAAATGGCATTTCAAGTTTTCCTTTTCATAATTTCTGACATTAGTATAGAGAAATATAATTTGGTTTTATAATATTGACTTTATAGCTAGTGAGTATGTTAACTTAACTTATTAATTGTAATATTAGATATGGGCATTCTTTTTTTTTTTTGGTTTTTCGAGACAGGGTTTCTCTGTATAGCTTTGCGCCTTTCCTGGAGCTCACTTGGTAGCCCAGGCTGGCCTCGAACTCAC